GCAACAATTTTGCTGTTCAAAAATTTTTATGACTGTCTAGTCTAAATGACCTGAAATGCACTTAACATCTCGCAATACGTTTACTTAACAGTCGCTATGGTCGCTATCATGGTGGAAAGAAGAAAGATGAGTCATTCCCATTATTCACCATGGTGGAGGAAACGGTGGAGGAAACCATGATGGAGCAGGTACCACAGTTGGTATCATCAGCTCGATTATTATCATAGTCGGTATTTGCGCAGCGATTGCAGGTAAATACGCGGAATTACCGAAAGCTTTAAAGTCTTGCGACGTCCGCGAGAGATCAGTTTTTCACTTGTTCGCCGTTTCGTTCCGATCGCAGAAGAAGGTGACGGTTTTTGTTCATGTATGTACATACATAATACTGCAATCAGCAGTGGACTCTTCTGTGCGTTCTTCTTTCGTTCTTGTTCTCGTTCTCTGCTACGCAAGAAGATAACGTACTGCACGTAAACGGTAAAAATCCGCGAGTCGCAGTGACGTACCCTCGACAATTTTTCGCGATGCGCGAATTTGTGTCTGAATATGTAATTTTGATAATTATTTAGAATACGGACTGCACCTCCGTTTTTGACGAAATTAGGCTTATTCGACGCATTTTTACTTAAAACGGAAGAATCTGTACGTAAAAATGTTAGGCTCCGCGAACTGAGATATTAAGCATTGAAGTTGATGACTATTGAGGTTAGAAAATCTGTCATAGTGACGAGATGCAGCCATGCAGCGACACGACTGGACATGTCTATGCACCGCGGTTATGCACATGTAATTGTTGCTAGAATAAGTATTTTCTACTTCAATTACACAAATTCTATTAAAAGCAAATTGTCTGCTTTATAAAAACACATTCTATACTTTACAAATACATATTATTTTCTATATAACTTTTTTTACAATAGAAAATTTGTTTTTAAAGCAGAGAATTTGTTTTTAAAACAAATAGCTAATTAAAATAAATTATCTGCTGTAAAAATAAAAAATATATAAAAATTATATAAAAAATAATTAGTTTATTTTTAAAGCAGAAAATGTGTTTTTAAAGAAGAGAATTTGTGTAATTTAAGCATAAAATTCTTATTCTGGTCTCAATTACATGTTGTGCATGACCGCAGCATGTAGACGTGTCCAGTCGTGTCGCTACATTTCGTCGCTATGACAGATTTTCTAAATAGTTGTCGACTTTAACGCTTAATATCTTGATTCATGGGACTGTTTTTCTTACAGATTCTTTCGTTTTGAGTAAAAACGCTTAATTTCATAAAAATCGGAGATGCAGTCCGTATTCTATTCTAATTATAGTAATTTTATATTATTTGATGTTTCAGATTATCCTAAAAGGAAATTATAACAATAATGTTGACGCCTTTTGCGATGTTAAATGTTGCAAGCAGAAACATTTCTACTTCAACCCCTATGAGTCAGATAATTAAATTGAGTAGACTGAGAGTAGTGGACAACAGTGAGATAGGAAGACAAGCTATGATGGAGGGTAGACCACCACGTTGCATTCATGTTTACAACAAGCTTGGAGTGGGATATATTGGTGAGACAATAAGTGAAAAACTATATCAAGGATATTATCATTTTATAGGAAATTTATCTAAATATTGCTATATGTATTATTCAGGTGATAGAATTTTAGTTGCTATAAGAGGCGAAAAGAAGAAAGGTATATTGGTTGGATTGAAACAGCAACAGGCCCCTAAAGTTCCCAAATTTGATAGCAACAATCTGGTACTCATAGACGACAACGGCACACCTCTAGGTACAAGAATACAGGTGCCTATTCCACACATACTTCGAACGAAAATGAAAGAAAAGACTCACAGCAAAGGAGCAGATTATACTAAACTAATAGCGATTGCGTCTAGATTTGTGTAGTGTATTTATCTTGTCTACTATTGTAATATATATCAAATATTCAATTAAGAAAATGTTAATATTGTAATTATTTAGTATTTTCTGTAAAACTTGTAATATGGAAACGTATCACTCATGCATCTGTGTATTTTATCGTATATTAATATTATAATAAAACTATCACAAATTCAAATTTTTTTTTATATATGCACTAGGAGTGTTTTCTATTTAACCTTTGTAACGCTAATGTATATTATCTCAGCTTTGTTTAATTTTTAATGACAAGAAGGATGTAATGATATATCTGTATACTGTGGTTTTGTTTATGTAGGTATATAGCTTGTAAGTATAACTTTAATTCAGTTATCAGCTATGGGATGTTTATCGTATTTAAAGGATTATTTAAATTAATTATTGAAGTTATATTATGTTCACGTTAAGATTTATAATATTTCTATTAAAATTTTAGCAAATTGCATAACTTTAATTCTTTGCCGTTAGAATTTATTATCAAATTTGTCTTCGCATTTCGAAATCGAATTAGTAATAAAAAAATGTAACAAATAATTCTTCAGTTCTCTCACCATTCCCGATAGCATTTTTGTTCGATACGATTCCTATATAAGAATAGAACATGGATGAGCACTTCGGATTTTCGTAGAGAATCTGGTAGTCTGATACTGGCGAAGAACGCGCTTTTTGTCCCTAATCTGATAAGTTACATGGTTTAACTATCAAAAATCTTTTCAATAGTTTGTACAAGTTTAGATACAAAATAATACAAAATTAAATTGTTTTAGCACAGTAGTCTGGTTTCGAGATGTTTTCTTGCATTGATCTCATGAAAAAAAAAGAGTTTTTTTGAAAAACATACTTGGATGATATAATCGGATCTAACAGGACAGTCTTAAAATAAGGATCTTGTATTTGTGTAGTTGGATTGTGATTGAATGTGATTAAATGATCTCAATCATGTTCGATCTCATTTAGTTTCAATGACAATTCTGCTTGATCCATCTCAAATTCCGCAATGGATAATGATTCAAATGGCTACCCATTCAGAACTCTGCAATAGTAATTATACATATATTAAATGTAACTTATTGTATTAGGGGTTTGCATTAAAAGCCGCTGTTTTTTCTTTGTA